GTCTGCGATCCGTGCACCTGCCAGCGACCAGCGCCCAACGCGCACGACGCCCGCTGCACCCGACGACCGAGACCCGCGCACTGTTCGACCGTGATCCGTTTGTGTAATGCCCCGTTTGAATTTGAATTATTTTAGATTATTTATTGGTTTATTATTGCCATTATTATTGCTTATTTATATTATTATTATTATTATTATTATTATTATTATCATTATTGTTATTGTTATTATTATTGTTTGTCAAATTGCTAATTGCTTATATATATATAAATAAATATTATGTGTAATGTGTTTATATATATATATTATAATTCGTGTATTTGTTTACCGTCGCTATCGTATTCGAGTTGTTTTTCCGGGCGAATCCTAAGATTTATTTCCAGCCCAAATTAGTTATTTCTCTAGCCCAATTTGAGATAAAATTGGCCCAATTTGGAGGCCAAATTGCATCACGTTGGGAAGCAAAGCAGATAATTCTTCTATTTTCCCCTCGCGACCGGGTCTTCTTAAACCTCAACCAGTTCAAAATTTTGTTCCGATTTGATCGCGAGATTAACTCGCATGTTCACTCAGATGGCCCGTATAAACTGAACCAATAAGCAACTTTCATCACATTTATCCATCTTCTCTCTTTCTAAAACCGAGACCTGCTTTCAAAAAAAAAGAGAGATTATTCGTTCCTGCACCTCCGACGATGCAGTGATCCTCGCCGGCGTACTGCGAGCAGCATCCCCTCCCAGCGACCAACAGCTCTCCGTCCCCGCTTTCGAAAGTTTAGAGTTTCGAGTCCCGTCGAGTCTCCGTTTGCCCCGTTGTCTAAACCCGTTTTTCTGATTTCTCGTACATTCTCAAAGACGGGTAAATAATTTCGAACCTTCTCGTTATTTTATTCGTGCTCGTGTATCACTCGATTATTGTCGTGCTCATTTAATCAAAATTCGATGATTTGTCGGTTGAGTTATATTCTTTAATCGGTTCATATGTTGCTATTTTTGAATTTTCGTAGACTTTTGGAACTCTCGTTTTGTGTGAAATTGGTCCTTTATGTTGCTGAGTTAAATTTGTTGTGTTTCGGGGTCTCGTTTTATTGTTTCGAGCCTTATCGTTATCGTTGTGTCATTCGGTTGTTTTTGAACTACGTATTGTCGTTCCGACTTTTGACTCTTTTTTAACCGGCCTTTAATGTTTTTCGAAACCTTGTAAATGTGTTATTTTCAGTAAACATTTTATATTTTTGACCCAGTTGCCGTTGGTGATGTCGTCGTCGAGTTCGGTTAAGTCTGCTTGTGATTTCACAAGTTCTGTAATTTTTTCCCAACTTTGTACTTTCTTTTCAAGTTGCAGGCCTTTCATTGTAATTTAGTAATTTTTGAGTTCAATTAAAATCGCGAACTAAGCTTGTAGCACAGTGGTCATCTGTCCGCTATTCCTTGTGTGTGGTCGGGGGTTCGGTCCCATGCCTTATTAATAGGCCTCTTTTTTTTATTTATTGAGGGCCAGTTTCAGCACGGGCCACAGGGCCCAATTCCAGCCCACGCGGCCCGCGAACCCTCACCCCCAGCCCGCGTGCCATCTGCCTAGTCCAGGCCCTCCTACGGCACAATTTTGGTGCCAGGCCCAATTGTGCTCTTGGTTTGTTTTCTAGTGGCCAGTGCGGCCCAGTTCGACTTTTTGACCTGTTTTGTGTTCCGAATGCCCTTTTTAATACCAGTCTTAATTTTAAAAATATTTTCAAAGTGATAAAAATTAAAAAAAAATATATATTTTAAGTCCCGAGACTCCAATTTTAGTTCTCCGAGTCATAATTTTTAAAAATGAGAGAGTTCCAAGTCCACGAAAAATCCGATTAAAACCCTTAAGACTTAATTTTTATTAAGTATGGGTTTTATGTTAAATTTGAGTAGTGAGATAAATTATTGATAAATTATTGATAAATTATCTCGCTTAAATGTAGGTATTGGAGGAGTCGAGCCTCATCCTACGTACTTGCTTTTGTGTGCCATTTTCTACCGGAATTTCCAGGTGGGTCTTATTTAAATCATCTATGCCATGAATAATAAGTGTTTATTCTTGTGAGTATGATCTATGCATGAACATGAAATATGTAGCGTATCGATGCGAGCTGTTACGGCCATCGGTACGGTTGTCCCCGTCGATGTAATACGGTTGCCCTTGTGAGGCAAGTCTCCTTAAGTCCTGATATGGCCGTGCCCTTGTGAGGTACGTAAGCCCATATGGGAGGCCGTGTCTGTAGCGTGGCATGTACTCCCGCCTTCGGGTAATGAATTCCCATTTTGCGGCTAGAGATAGATGTGCACAGGAGTAATGTGGTTTGTTGTGATTTTGATAGGAGATGAGACATGATGTGATTATCTTATATTCATGCTGCGACCATACCATCTTGACATGTTGTTATTATGTGCATAGTAGTGAGCACTATGTTCATTTTGTGCTCACTCCCACCTGCTCTTCACGGATGCAGGTTAAGCAGGTGTCGGATGACGGGGGAAAGACGAGTGGGTCGGTCATGATTTATGTTTTTATGATTTCGCTTCCATTATGAATAAAGTGTGGTTCTTGAGACGTGTTGAACTATTTTCAAAACTTGTCCTTTTTGGGATTATCTGACCCTTTGTTTAGATATTCATATTGGAATTATTTATTGAATATCATGTGTTTTCGATTATGCATGCTATATTGTTTAGCTAATAATCATGTGGAATTGAAGTTTTAAAGGTTAATGAAAACCATGTGAACAACCAAATATGACTTGGTTGATGTTAAATGTTTGGATAACGCCCATGTTCTTGAAAATGAGTTCGAAAAATTATGTACTGATTTTTGAAAAGTCCGGAATTTCTTTAAAATCAAAGTGGGGTGTTACAGTTTGGTATCAGAGCTAGTCTGCGGTTATGTAGACTAGTTTATATGTGATTATGTGTTTAGACCTTGTAATATGACCACTCGTCTCCGTCACTCCGCGCTGCTTAAGGTATGTTTTGTTTAAGTATTAATGAAAATACATGATATGTAAATGGTACACATGTGGTAATGAGACTACTTGTGGTATAATTGTTAATTTTTGGGGCTTAGGATCTATCCACCTTGATTTAATCGAACTCTAGTGTTTGTTGGAGAACTCTAGACCTTTGTAATTATGATTATCTTGTTTGTTTTGTGCTAACCTTGTTCGGCTTATTCAATGTAGAATAATGAATACTCGCTACAACCATAACCGTCAGCCATCCCCGACTCCTTATCTGCCCCATCAGCACCAGGCCCCTCTGGCCATGGACCTCACTCAGCTTATAGTCCAGTTTCAGAGGATGAATGCACCGACTTTCGCGGGGACTGAGAACCCCACAGCGGTGCTGGAGTGGATGAAAGAACTGGATAAGATATTCGCTGTACTTCCCCTCCCTGACCGTCAGCGAGTGTCCCTAGCAGCTTATCAGATGAAGGAGGACGCCTCTGACTGGTGGATTGACCACTGGGCCCAGAGGCCAGAGGCGGAGCTTCATGCTCTCACTAGGGAGCAGATGAAGACGATGGTGCGTGGCAAGTTCTTTCCCTATTTGGGATAGGATGAAGCATGAGTTCTACCACTTGCAGCAGGGCAGCTCCACAGTGGATGAGTATATTCGTACCTTCACCTGAATGTGCCTTTTTGCGGGCGACTCAGTGAATACCGATGCTAAGAAAGCCCGCAAGTTTCTCAAGGCGCTCAATCAGAGGATCCGTGAACTGGTGGGGAGTCGCGGACTGATGTCTTTCGCAGATACTATTAGTCGGGCTCAGGAGGTAGAGAGCTGTCTCATTCTGATAGTCAGTCCCTTCATATTATCATGTCTCCCAGCCTTCTCAGACAGTTGTTCAGCATGCCTAACCCATCTCATCCGTGCCGCTCGGCTCTAGTTCGGGCAAGAGGAAGGCAAATTCCCACCGGGATAACCGGAAGGGAAAGTGAGGAGGTCCCGACCGGTGCAATCATCCCTCTTCTGGCAACCAAACCTGCAAGAAATGTGGCAAGTACCATAGTGGCGAGTGCTTAGCCGACCAGCGAACCTGTTTCAACTGCAACCGTCTGGGCCATTATGCCAGTGTCTGTCCGGAGCCCAAGAGGCAGCAGCAGTTCCCTCAGCAACAGCAGCAACAGCAGCACTTCCCTCAGCAGCAGTAGCTTCCCCCATCGCCACCTCATCAGCAACAGCAGCCCCCACCGTTCCAGCAGAGGGCTGGGGGTCAGGCCCAAGTCTATACCATTACCCACGATGAGGCCGCCCGCAATGCAGGTACCATGTCCGGAATGCTTTCGATATCCCATGTGCCTATCTTTGCCTTATGTGATACCGGTGCTACCCATTTTATTTCTTCTCGTTTCTTGGAGGCTTTATCTATTGGCACTGTGCATGCTTGTGATGCTCTCGAGGTTAGTTTAGCCTCGAGAAAAATTATTATCTCTAATTCAGTGGTTCGCAACCTTCCTATTTGCATTGGTGGTCGAGTTCTGGAGGCCGACGTATATGTAATTGATATGCGAGACTTTGACGTGATCTTGGGCGTGGACTAGCTCACCCGTTACCGAGCCGATATCCGGTGCCAAGAGCGCGAAGTCACCCTCTTTCCCGTCTCTGATCAGCCTGTTGTGTTCTATGGGGTGAAGTCGAGGACTGTGCCTCGAGTCATCTCTTCTATGCAAGCTAGAAAGAGCCTTTCCAAAGGTAGCTGTCAAGGCTATCTGGTTTCTTTGGTATCCGACGATGTTGATGAGCGGGTGCCCGAGAGAGTATCTATTGTTTGCGAGTACCTCGACGTCTTTCCTGATGATTTGCCTGGAGGATCTCCCGATTGCCAGGTGGAGTTCACCATCGACCTAATTCCCAGAGTCGGTCCCGTTTCTAAGGCCCCTTATCGTATGGCGCCGAAGGAGCTTCAAGAGCTCAAGGCCCAGATCCAGGAGTTGCTCAAGATTGGTTTTATTCGTCCGAGTGTCTCGCCATGGGGTGCGCCCATCCTATTCGTGAAGAAGAAAGACGGATCTATGCGCATGTGCATTGACTATCGGGAGTTGAATACCCTTACAGTCAAGAACAAGTACCCCCTTTCCCGTATTGAGGACCTTTTCGACCAGCTGAGAGGAGCTAGCGTCTTCTCAAAGATTGATTTGCGTTCTGGCTATCATCAGCTGAAGATCAAGGAGTCGGATATTTTCAAGACTGCTTTCCGTACCCGCTATGGCCACTATGAGTTCGTAGTCATGCCGTTCGGACTCAGCAATGCCCCGGCCATTTTCATGGACTTTATGAATAGGGTCTTTCATCCTTTCCTGGACCAGTTCGTCATTGTGTTCATCGACGACATTCTGGTCTATTCCCGAGATATCGATCAGCACAAGGAGCATCTGAGGATCGTGCTGGAGACTCTTCGCCGCGAGAAGTTGTATGCTAAGTTCTCGAAGTGCGAATTCTGGCTGAACCGCGTGGCATTCCTTGGCCACATTGTGACAGCTCGAGGCATTGAGGTGGATCCCAGCAAGATTGAGGCAGTGAGCAAGTGGGATACGCCGAGAAGTGCCGCTGATGTTCGTAGTTTCATGGGGTTAGAAGGATACTACAGGAGGTTTATCGAGGGCTTCTCGAAGATAGCCCAGCCGCTGTCCAACCTTACAAAGAAAGCCGTGAGGTTTGATTGGAGTCCTCAGTGCAAAGAGAGTTTCCAGGAGTTGAAGAGAAGACTCACTACCGCGCCTGTCCTATCTATACCCGACCCTACTCCGGAGTTCACCATCTATAGTGATGCTTCGAAGATGGGTTTGGGTTGTGTTCTCACGCAGCAAGGGAAAGTTGTAGCTTATGCTTCGAGGCAGCTGAAGCCTCACTAGCAGAACTACCCCACTCATGATCTCTAGTTAGCTGCTGTTGTCCACGCCTTGAAGATTTGGCGTCACTACCTCTATGGAGGCAAGTGTGAGATCTTTACCGACCACAAGAGCCTGAAGTACATATTCACTCAGAAGGAGCTGAACATGAGGCCGCGTAGATGGTTGGAGCTGGTAAAGGACTACGACTGCACCATTAGCTATCACCCTAGGAAAGCTAATGTGGTAGCCGATGCCCTTAGTCGGAGGAGTTATGGCCAACTATCTTGCTTGTTTTCCAGGCAAGATGTTCTTCTTCGGTTATTCGAGCGATTACAGCTGGAGGCAGTGGAGTCGACTTCGACAGCCGAGGGCGTGTTGGCCTCTTTGGTTGTGGGACCAACTCTTCAAGAGAGGATAGTCGCCGAGCAACCGAATGACCGTTTTCTATGCCGGATGAGGGAGCTGTCGGAAGCTGGTAAAGTTGGAGGATTCGCAGTCGCATCTGATGGGGCCTTGGTCTTCGAGGGTAGACTTTGTGTTCCGAAGGTGTGGGAACTGCGAAGGGAGATTCTGAGAGAGGCCCATAGTGCTCCGTACACCATCCATCCTGGTAGCACGAAGATGTATCAGGACTTGAGGAAGTCTTTCTGGTGGCGTGGCATGAAGTGGCAGATAGCGAAGTTCGTGGATGGGTGCCTGGTGTGTCAGCAAGTGAAGGCTGAGCACCAGAAACCGAGAGGGTTGTTGCAGCCCCTTGAGGTTCCCTTGTGGAAGTGGGAGTGCATCACGATGGATTTCTTAGTTGGACTGCCGAGGTCGAGGGCCGGGCATGATTCGATTTGGGTGATAGTGGATCGTCTTACGAAGTCTGCCCATTTTTCTGCCAGTCCGAACGACCATGAAGGCGAGTGATTACGCCGAATTGTTCGTCAAGGACATTGTTAAGCTTCATGGAGTGCCCTTGGAGATTGTTTCTGATCGAGATCCCAAGTTCACATGTCAGTTTTGGAGGATGTTGCACCGAGCCATGGGGACGAGGTTGGAGTTCAGTACAGCCTTTCACCCCGAGACAGATGGTCAGTCGGAGCGTACGATCCAGTAGTTGGAGGATATCTTGAGGGTTGTGGTCTTGGACCGGAGCCTGACTTGGGAGTATGCCCTTCTGCTAGTCGAGCTTACCTACAACAACAGCTACCACTCTTCGATCAAGATGGCCCCGTACGAGGCTTTGTACGGACGTAAGGTCCGGACTCCTTTGTATTGGGATGAGGTTGGAGAGAGGAGGATTACGGGCCCGAATTTTGTCCAAAGTACTGCTGCGACAGTTGAGGAGATTCGGAGGACTATCAGGTCGGCCCAAGAGAGGAAGAAGGTCTATGCCGACCGGAAGAGGCAAGAGCATGTTTATGCAGTGGGAGATCATGTCTTCTTGAAGGTTTCACCCATGAGAGGCGTGATTCGCTTTGGGAAGAAGGGGAAACTTAGACCTCGCTATATCGGGCTGTTTGAGATCCTCGACCGAGTTGGGAACTTAGCGTATTGGCTGGCTTTACCACCAGACTTGTCAGGTGTGCACGATGTGTTCTATGTCTCGATGCTTCGAAGGTATGTGCATAATCCTGATCATGTGGTGGACTTCGGCGAGCTGCAGGTCGAGCGAGACCTTACCTACGAGGAGGTACCGGCAGCCATCTTGGACCGGAAGGTCCACCAGCTGAGGAACTGGGCAGTGAGCTTAGTGAAAGTGCAGTGGAGCCGACAGGATGAGACTGAGTCGACTTGGGAGAGGGAGAACGATATTAAGAGGCGTTATCCGAACTTTGAGTTCTGAGTTCTCCTTTGTATTTTATCGCTTTCTAGTTTTTATTTTCGAATTCCGAGGACGGAATTCTTTGTAAGGTGGGTAGACTGTAACGCCCCGTTTGAATTTGAATTATTCGAGATTATTTATTGGTTTATTATTGCCATTATTATTGCTTATTTATATTATTATTATTATTATTATTATTATTATTATTATTATTATTATTATTATTATTATTATTATTATCATTATTATTATTGTTATTATTATTTTTTGTCAAATTGCTAATTGCTTATATATATATATAAATAAATATTATGTGTAATGTGTTTATATATATATATATATTATAAGTCGTGTATTTGTTTATCGCCGCTATCGTATTCGAGTTGTTTTTCCGGGCGAATCATAAGATTTATTTCCAGCCCAAATTAGTTTATTTCTCTAGCCCAATTTGAGATAAAATTGACCCAATTTGGAGACCAAATTGCATCATGTTGGGAAGCAAAGCAGATAATTCTTCTATTTTCCCCTTGCGACAGGGTCTTCTTTAACCTCAACTAGTTCAAAATTTTTTTCCGATTTGATCGCGAGATTAACTCGCATGTTCACTCAGATGGCCCGTATAAACTGAACCGATAAGCAACTTTCATCACATTTATCCATCTTCTCTCTTTCTAAAACCGAGACCTGCTTTCAAAAAAAAAAAGAGAGATTATTCGTTCCTGCACCTCCGGCGACGCAGCGATCCTCGCTGGCATACTCCGAGCAGCATCCCCTCCCAGCGACCAGCAGCTCTCCGTCCCCGCTTTCGAAAGTTTAGAGTTTCGAGTCCCGTCGAGACTCTGTTCGCCCCGTTGTCCAACCCATTTTTCTGATTTCTCGTAAATTTCCGAAGATGGGTAAATAATTTCGAACCTTCTCGTTATTTTATTCGTGCTCGTGTATCACTCGATTATTGTCGTGCTCATTTAATCGAAATTCGATTATTTGTCGGTTGAGTTATATTCTTTAATCGGTTCATATGTCGCTATTCGTGAATTTTCTTAGACTTTTGGAACTCTCGTTTTGTGAGAAATTGGTCCATTATGTTGTTGTGTTAAATTTGTTGTGTTTCGGAGTCTCGTTTTATTGTTTCGAGCCTTATCGTTATCGTTGTGTCATTCGGTTGTTTTCGAACTATGTATTGTCGTTCTGAATTTTGAATCTTTTTAAACCGGCCTTTATGTTTTTCGAAACCTTGTAAATGTGTAATTTTCAGTAAACGTTTTATATTTTTGACCCGGTTGCCATTGGTGATGTCGTCGTCGAGTTCGGTTAAGTCTGCTTGTGATTTCACAAGTTATGTAATTTTTCCCCAGCTCTGTACTTTCTTTTCAAGTTGCGGGCCTTTCATTGTAATATTAGTAATTTATGAGTTCAATTAAAATCGCGAACTAAGCTTGTAGCACAGTGATCATCTGTCCGCTATTCCTTGTGTGTGGTCGGGGGTTAGGTCCCATGCCTTTGTGATAGGCCTCTTTTTTTTATTGAGGGCCAGTTTCAGCGCGGGCCATAGGGCCCGATTCCAGCCCGCACGACCCGCGAAGCCGCACCCCCAGCCCGCGTGCCATCTGCCTAGTCCAGGCCCTCCTACGGCCCAATTTTGGTGCTAGGCCCAATTGTGCTCTTGGTTTGTTTTCTAGTGGCCAGTGCGGCCCAGTTCGATTTTTTGACCTGTTTTGTGTTCCGAATGCCCGTTTTTAATACCAGTCTCAATTTTAAAAATATTTTCAAAGTGAGAAAAATTTAAAAAAAAATATATTTTAAGTCCCGAGACTCCAATTTTAGTTCTCCGAGTCATAATTTTTTAAAATGAGAGAGTTCCAAGTCCACGAAAAATCCGATTAAAACCCTT